GAGAGAGAATATAACAGGTTTTCGGCACTCATAATATGTGAATAAAATTTCATAGCAATTGCCTGTATATGAACAGCAAATAATAATAAAATAATAATAATAATAATAATAATAATAATAATAATATAATAATAATAATAATAATAATACAGAGAATAATTACACTAACGTGACTATCAATGAGAAAATCCGTAGGAGCTGTTATGAGGGATCGAACCTATGTGGTGGGTGTTCCTAGTCACACGCGTCTAGTGACTTAATCCTTCTAGATTAATAATAATCATCTAAAGGTTATATTTGCAGAATAAGAGCAATGGTTTAAAATAATACAATTTGGACTCAGAAAAATCACATAATGTAACAAATTAGAAATAATTTGTTACATTATGTAAAAATTTATTAATAAAGGTTGTGACTCTGGGTTTTAACAGATTGCTAATATAGTTACTAAATAATTAAATATAATATTCAAATATAAATAAACTGAGAATAATTCGAGGTGGCCCAGGCACTTGGTAATGAAACAAGAGGGTGCTCCCTGGGTAGAATTCTGACGTTTCGACTCTATATTTACTGCAGATTGAGGGAGTTTCACTTACCACTTAGTGAAACTGACCTTACAAGAACCTCTGGTATTAATAGCTGAAGACATATCACTAAGGAGCTCTTTACCACAGCTCCTTACAAGGAGTTGGAGCTGTGGTTTAACAGGTTGAGAACATGCCATTAAGACCTTCGACTTACACTGCAACCATCAATACTTATACCTAGTTTACCTTCAGCTCTTGGGTGTCGACTTTCAAACTCTAATAGACTGGTTTACAGGTTCCAGGGACATTGGCCTCTGGCAAAAATATATATATTTGAAACTGTGTTTAGAGTCAGCTCCTAACACTTCACTTTTTAGCACAAACCATTTGTTCACTAATATAACACTGAAAATATTCTCTCTAAAGCTTCTATGGCTCACTTGGTTACTTAGCATCCACCTGTATACCTTAGTTCATGTGCCAGCCAAGCCAAACAGTCAATTCTTATCTGTCCTGTCTTAACTCCTATGGATTTTGTATGCAGTGATTATGTGTCGTCTGCTTCTCCTTTTTAGTTAGTAAAGATTCTATCAATGTGGTCTAAAAGGAACATGGGAAAGTTCACTAGCGTCTTAAAATGTTCTTCGAACACGAAATTCAAACCACACAGACTAAAAGAAATCATGAATGCCTGTGATAACCCGGATTGACCCTTTGAAGCGGTGACCTAGAGACGCTCTCGAGGACAATATATTATATTCCCAAACCTCTTTGTTTACAACGTTAGAACACACACGATATGTCACCAAACAACAATGCACGAGCTTTAACAACAATAACAGGACATCCTTCCTGACCTAAAGAAGTCTCCCTGCGGGGCGGGAGGCGGCGGACACGACAATATATTCTTGCGTTGGTTCTCCTCCCACTGGCGCTTGGGGAAGGCAGCAGAGGTGAATGGGCGAAGTAGGCAGGACGCCTCTAAGCTCCCAGATCATGGAGGTCGTCTCTTGGGGAACCCCTGACTCCACACAAGCCCTCTCTCTCTCTCTCTCTCTCTCTCTCTCTCTCTCTCTCAAATCCACCCTCCGTTCCTTCCCTTTCTCCCTGTTTCAGTCTTCCACTCTCCTTCATCACTACTCTTCATTTCCTTCCTCTATCACTCTATTCCTTCTACCCACCGTCCATCTCTCCCTCTTTCCTCTCTTCTGCTTCGGAGTGGGTGAGAGGAAGGGGAAGGGCTGGGAGGATAATTTACAGGTTTAATATTGAGAACAGTAATGGGAGCTGTACATAATGACGCCCCCCATGCATACCTCCTGTCTGCCTCCTGCTTGTCTGCCAGCCTGTTTTCTGCTTGATTGTCTGCCAGCCTGTTTTCTGCTTGATTGTCTGCCAGTCTGCCTCCTGCTTGCTTGTCTGCCAGTCTGCCTTCTGCTTGCTTGTCTGCCACCCTGCCTCCTGCTTGCTTGTCTGCCACCCTGCCTCCTGCTTGCTTGTCTGCCAGCCTGCCTCCTGCTTGCTTGTCTGCCAGCCAACCCAATGACTACAGGTGTGTCAGCCTACCTCATGCCTTTCGTCCAGCCTGTCTAACACCTTGTCTGCTGACCTGCCAGCCTACCTGCTGACCATGAATCAACACACACATCTTCCATGACTTTACCTGCCCCAGGACCTCCCTCAATGTTGTTGTTATAGATTCAGCTACTAGGAACAAAAAGTTCCAAGTAGCACGGGCTATGGTGAGCCCGTAGTGGACTTACCTGGCACAGGAGCGGGGCTGTAACAATTGGGTCCCTCAATTCCCTTCCCGTCATCTATACCCTTCTCGCCCCTTCACCTATACCCTCATTTGTTTCTTTCTCTATTTTTGTCACTACATGTTCTGATTACTTCCGGTGGCCTATTCTCTCTCTCTCTCTCTCTCTCTCTCTCTCTCTCTCTCTCTCTCTCTCTCTCTCTCTCTCTCTCTCTCTCTCTCTTTCTCTCTCTCTCTCTCTCTCTCTCACCAGCCTGATTACACACCTCTAATTTCGTAGCTTTCCCTTTCAATGCACACGCAAGGTTCACCTCGCCTAAGGCCCCCTGGGCCCCTCGCCCCGGTGCTCGAGGGGCGTCCTGGGCCCCTCGCCCGGGTGCTCGAGGGCGTCTAGGGCCCCTAGGCCCGGGTGCTCGAGGCCCTCTGGGCCCTCGCCCGGGTGCTCGAGGGGCGTCCTGGGCCCCTCGCCCGGGTGCTCGAGGCCCTCTGGGCCCTCGCCCGGGTGCTCGAGGGGCGTCCTGGGCCCCTCGCCCGGGTGCTCGAGGGGCGTCCTGGGCCCCTCGCCCGGGTGCTCGAGGGGCGTCCTGGGCCCCTCGCCCGGGTGCTCGAGGGCCCCTGGGCCCCTCACTAAGATTACATGAAATGTTACTCGTCCCTAACTGCTGATTTTTCTCAAGAAATAAAAGCGATAATCAACGACTCTGTGAAGGGTGCGATTTGACGTCACACTAGAGAGGGTGAATATGGCGGTCACTCTAGCAGGGGGAAGGATTGTCGGTCACTCTAGCAGGGGGGGAGGATTGTCGGTCACTCTAGCAGGGGGGGAGGATTGTCGGTCACTCTAGCAGGGGGGGAGGATTGTCGGTCACTCTAGCAGGGGGAAGGATTGTCGGTCACTCTAGCAGGGGGGGAGGATTGTCGGTCACTCTAGCAGGGGGGGAGGATTGTCGGTCACTCTAGCAGGGGGGGAGGATTGTCGGTCACTCTAGCAGGGGGGGAGGATTGTAACAAGAATTGTTACGCTGAGTTTTCTGTGTCAAGCTTTATAGTTTGCAAGACTTGATTGTAGTTTGTGCTGAGAGAGAGTCGGTTGTTGACGTGTTGTGATCTGTGCGGTGATGGTGGTGTTGATGGTGGTGGTGGTTGTGGTGAGGGTGTTGGTGGTGGTGATGGTGGTGATGGTGATGGTGATGGTGATGGTGGTGGTGATGGTGGTGGTGATGGTGGTGGTGGTTGTGGTGAGGGTGTTGGTGATGGTGGTGGTGAGGGTGTTGGTGGTGGTGATGGTGATGGTGGTGGTGATGGTGGTGGTGGTTGTGGTGAGGGTGTTGGTGGTGGTGATGGTGGTGATGGTGATGGTGATGGTGATGGTGGTGGTGATGGTGGTGGTGATGGTGGTGGTGAGGGTGTTGGTGGTGGTGATGGTGATGGTGGTGGTGATGGTGGTGGTGGTTGTGGTGAGGGTGTTGGTGGTGGTGATGGTGATGGTGGTGGTGGTGGTGGTGATGGTGGTGGTGAGGGTGTTGGTGGTGGTGATGGTGATGGTGATGGTGATGGTGGTGGTGGTTGTGGTGAGGGTGTTGGTGGTGGTGATGGTGGTGAGGGTGTTGGTGGTGGTGATGGTGGCGGTGATGGTGGTGGTGATGGTGGTGGTGGTTGTGGTGAGGGTGTTGGTGGTGGTGATGGTGGTGATGGTGATGGTGGTGGTGATGGTGGCGGTGATGGTGGTGTTGATGGTGGTGGTGGTTGTGGTGAGGGTGTTGGTGGTGGTGATGGTGGTGATGGTGATGGTGGTGGTGATGGTGACGGTGATGGTGGTGTTGATGTTGGTGGTGGTTGTGGTGAGGGTGTTGGTGGTGGTGATGGTGGTGAGGGTGTTGGTGATGGTGATGGTGGTGGTGATGGTGGTGGTGATGGTGGTGGTGGTTGTGGTGAGGGTGTTGGTGGTGGTGATGGTGGTGAGGGTGTTGGTGATGGTGATGGTGGTGGTGATGGTGGTGGTGATGGTGGTGGTGATGGTGGTGATGGTGATGGTGGTGGTGATGGTGATGGTGATGGTGGTGGTGGTGGTGGTGGTGATGGTGGTGGTGTTGGTGGTGATAGTGATGTTGGTGGTGATGGTGTCGGTAGTAATGATGATGATGCTGGTGATGGAGATGAGAAGATCTTCCCCAGCGTGCCACCCCGAAGCTAAGCATCATCGCTCACCACACCATCAGACCATGCACCAACTAACGACCATTTCCTCTGCCGATTCACCACCGTCGCTTCCAAATGCTAACATTCCCGAGATCACAGGGTCGCCCCAGGCCACCCCCAGGCCGCCCCCAGGCCGCCCCTGGCCGCCCCTGGCCGCCCGTGGCCGCCCCAGGCCGTCCCTGGCCGCCCGTGGCCGCCCCAGGCCGCCCCCAGGCCGCCCGTGGCCGCCCGTGGCCGCCCGTGGCCGCCCGTGGCCGCCCCAGGCAGCCGCCGAAGGAGGGAGTGCCAAAAAGCCTTTGATACAGTACCGCAGATGGGAGAGCCATTCAAACTCGAGAGGCAGGCGGGAGTGAGCGGGAAGGCCCTAGCATGGGCAAGGAACTACCTAACAGGAAGGAGTCAGAGAGTTACGGTAAAGAGCAAGAAGTCCGACTGGCGAACAGTAACGAGTGGAGTACCTCAAGGATCGGTGCTGGGACCAGTTCTATTTCTAATATACGTGAACGACATGTTTACATGAGTAGAGTCCTACATGTCAATGTTCGCGGATGACGCAAAGTTGATGAGAAGAGCGGTGCGGATTGATGAGGATTGCAGGATCCTCCAAGAGGACCTGAACAGGTTGCAGAGATGATCAGAGAAATGACCATGGAAATGAAGTGGTTGGTGGAACAGAGGTGATGGTGTTGGTGGTTCACCATCAATACCTTCCCTAACAGGCACGTCATAACCAACCACAATCAACCATAGCCACATCTTCCGGAAACACCGCCAAAACAGTGTCCGTCAGGACCACCCTTCGTTCGCTCTGAAAACTCCCTACTACCACGCCAACCACCACCACCGTCAACCACCACTACCACCACCACCACCACTACCACAGACGTGATCGTTCCCCCAAGATATCTCCCCAGCCACGCCATTCAGCCAATGAGGAATACATTATAAGAATTGCTGTACCATTTGTTAACACATCTCAAACAATATTTCCTGGAGACGATTTTTCAACCGTTGGCTGAAAGTTGGCAGAATAATTCTGGGATTTGGAGTCTGGCGCGGACCCGGTTGGTGGCCGGGGAAGTGTAGTGTGACGGGGCTCACCTCGACCAGTTGGTGGTGTGACGGTAGCTCCTTACAATATGCTCCGTCACACCCACACATATGTGAGCATATGTGAGCTGGAGCATCAATTATCGTGACATCAACGAAGGTTGTCATTCGTCAAAACTTGGCTGTCAAAGTGTCATTCATCGTGGACCTCTACAAGCTCCCCGGACACAACAACCTCCGCTCTACAACTCTACCAGCTCTCTCTCTCGCACATACGATCACCCACACATACACACATACATGCACGCCTACCTGCTGATATACCTACACGTGCACCCACCTCGTACACCCCCCCCCCCACACACAAACACACACACACATCCATCCCCACACACACACACATCCATCCCCACACACACACACATCCATCCCCACACACACACACACACATCCATCCCCACACACACACACATCCAACCCCACACACACACATCCAACCCCACACACACATCCATCCCCACACACACACACACATCCATCCCCCCACACACACACACACAGACCTACAAAAGGCAACAAACAGGTCGTTCATCTTTCACAGTCACACACACACACAAGCTTGACTAATGAAGGCCATCGGAACGAGGCGAGCTCTGATTGGCGAGGAGCTCATCTATGGCGAGTCACTGCCTGACTCGCCATAGATGTACAGTGCCTTGTATAATATATATGTGTGTATATAACAGTAACAATTATACAACTAGCTTCAAAAGATGTCACTTGCTTAGATAAATGAACTATGGGGTTCAGTTCCCGAACCCATTATATGTCTCTAATCCTTTCCACCGCCGCCCACGGGATGGGTATAGGGTGGAATTCATTCTTTCAGTGCACCAGGAAAGAATGAAGCCAACGAATGCAATTGAAGCCATTCCAAGCTAGCAACAAAGCACCTGTGAAAGGAGAAAGCACCTGTGAAAGGAGAAAGCACCTGTGAAAGGAGAAAGCACCTGTGAAAGGAGAAACTGAACGCACACCCGTAAAAATCTAACAACTGAAAGCTATTACAAACTGCTTTGAAAAGAAGAGTTAAATGCTCTGGCAGCATTGTAGGGCTTCATAATTGCTGTTATATTGCAGGATGCAATTTTCCCGTCGCTAACGACCGTCAGTGATACACACTAATATCAATGGTGAGATTTTGTCTGATGTGCCTGCTACACACACACACACACACACACACAGGAATACTCTTCACACACACATACTCTTCAGGAATCTGTACACCTGTTGATTGACGGTTGAGAGGCGGGACCAAAGAGCCAGAGCTCAACCCCCGCAAACACAACTAGGTGAGTACGCACACACACACACACACACACACACACACACACACACACACACACACACACACACACACACACACACACACACACACATACACAAGATATGATAGAGCCCAGTAGGCTCAGGAATCTGTACACCAGTTCATTGACAGTTGAGAGGCGGGACCAAAGAGCCAAAGCTCAACCCCCGCAAGCACAATTAAGTGAGTACAATTAGGTGAGTACACACACACACACACACACACACACACACACACACACACACACACACACACACACATGCGGTAACACAATGTTTTGATAGTGTTGAGAGGTATAAATATACTCGCACTATAATTGTCTTCCCCTGTGTTCTCTCTCTCTAGCTCACTTTTCCTCGTCTCCCTTCTCCTCCTCCTCCTCCTCCTCTATCTCCTCTTCATTTTCAACGTCTCTTACATTTTCCGATTGTTCTATTGTTTTGATCACAGCGCTTCAATCACAACGGCGCCAATCAGCATATTGGACGCGGCACTCAGCCGCCTGACTGATTAATTGCTGTGACAATTTCAGTCATTAAATTAAAACACTGAATTACAGTGCTTGTTGGAAGTTCATTTTCACCAGAACGACACCAGCTTTATATTACCGACACCCAGCACAACAACACCCTCCACACCTGCTGTAGCTACACCCCTCCACACCTGCACCCCTCCACACCTGAGGGCACAACACCTACACTTGACAGCATAATGCTCTCTAATATTTACACCGACAACTATCGTGAAAGCACCTTCTCAAGTCCACACCTTCCAAACTTTCCAAATATGTGTTCCTCCTCCTCATCGTCGTCCACACTTGTTCAACCGTCAACAATACCCTTTGTTAAACACGTGTCCTCTGTGTTCAGCACGTGTCCTCTGTGATCAGCACGTGTCCTCTGTGTTCAGCACGTGTCTCCTGTTTTCAGCACGTGTCCTCTGTGATCAGCACGTGTCCTCTGTGATCAGCACGTGTCCTCTGTGTTCAGCACGTGTCTCCTGTGTTCAGCAC